CAGAGCAACGTCTGCTGGAAAAATTTCAACATTCCCAGATTTCCCGGATTCGTACGATGAAATCAACGCGCGGAATGACCAAAAACTGTGGCTGGATGCAATCGATGAAGAACTGAAATCCCTGGAGGCCAACAAGGTATGGGAATTGATGCCATGCCCAACCGGCGTCAAACCGCTGCAGTCAAAGTGGATCTTCCGCACGAAAGAGGATGAAGAAGGAAACCCTGTGCGCTATAAAGCAAGGTTGGTCGTCAAAGGTTTCTTACAGAAAGCCGGTTTGGACTACAACGAAACCTACGCACCTGTGGCGAAGCTGACGACAATCCGTATTGTGATGGCTGTCGGTGTTTAAAAAGGGTTCCATTTCCACCAAATGGATGTGAAGACGGCGTTTCTTCACGGTGAGCTGCAAGAGAAAATATTCATGGCGGTTCCGAACGGCGTCAAGGCGAGAGCTGGCACGGTGTGCAAATTGAAAAAGAGTCTGTATGGCTTGAAGCAGTCCCCTCGCTGCTGAAACGAGAAGTTCAATCAAGCGCTGCTGAAGTAAGGTTTTATTCGTTCCAAGCACGATTATTGCCTGTACACCCGTGCCGACGAGAGGGGGGGAAGATGCCATTTTCGTCGTACTATATGTTGATGACCTTCTCATAGCGGGAGCGAAGCTGTCAACAATTTTGAAATTGAAGAACGAATTATCCCGGATGTTCGCCATGACCGACTGTGGAGAGCTTAGCCATTTCCTTGGCATGAAGATACGCTACAATCGACAAGACGGAAAGATGATGCTGTCTCAAGAAGCAAGCCTAGAAAAGATCTTCCAGAAGTTTGGCATGTTGGAATGCAATCCTACAAGGACCCCGATGGAGAGAGGGTTGCAGCTTTATCGTCAAGTTTCCGAAGCTAATGGAGTACCGTATCGTGAGCTACTGGGAAGTTTAATGTACGTGATGGTATCAACGAGATCGGACATTTGCTATCCTGTCGGGTACCTGGGGAGATTCCAAGCTCAACCCGGACAACAGCACTGGACCGCGCTCAAGCGAGTAGTGCGTTACCTGAGAGGGACGATGGATCATTGCTTGACTTTAACCCGGGATGTTCAAGCAAAACCACTAGTTGGGTTCGCGGATGCAGACTGGGCTACCGATACCGAGGACAGGAAGTCAGTGAGCGGATTTGTCTTCCAGGTGTTTGGATCGACTGTTGCCTGGTCTAGTAAAAAACAAACGACGGTCGCCACTTCATCAAGTGAAGCAGAGTATGTGGCGTTAAGCGCTGCAGCATCGGAAGCAATATGGTTGATTGGTGTCCTAGGCGATTTGGGTGAAAAGCAGATCGAGCCAGTTGCCATATATGAAGACAATCGTGGGTGCATCGGCATGGCTAAGAACGTGGAGAGCAAGAGAGTGAAGCATATTGATATCAAACATCATTTTCTTCGGGATCTTGTCACCGCTGGGAAGCTGCTGATAGAACCAATTGCAAGTGAGAACCAATTAGCTGACTTCTTTACCAAGTCCTTGGACGCTGGCCGATTCGAGGAATTAAGGACGAAGCTAGGAGTATCCAAACGAGAGGGGGTGTTAACAAAGTAGGCGTTGGATTGCTGTCTTGAACACTCAATTAATTTTCTAGCGTCATTCCATATCAAGACACTGAAGAGAGCAGTCATACCAAGATAACTTTATCGTTAATAAAACTTGTTCATTGTTAAGTGTTGTCCTGGTTATTTCCTGTCCGCCCCATCCGCACCGTATTCCTTTAAGATATCTCAAGTGACCAAGCAAATTTATCGACCTTCTCCGATTTGAACCAAAATCAAATGTTTTGTGCCACATGGCTCTGGGGACTGCCCCCTTTCTTCAGATTTTTAATAAACACCAATTTTCATTTCTACATATCTCTGAAACAAATAATAATACAAACGACATTAGGTGTGACAGTGGTTCCATCAGACAGTAAATTTCAGTTAGGTACGTTGGTCATGACCAATCAGAAAGTGTTCCAGGGATATTCAAGAATATTTTCTTAAAGTTATCTTCTCATTTGATCAAGTTTCTCTTGAAAATGGAAGTACTTTTGAAAATGGAATGGAAATGGAAATGGAATGGAATGGAAATGGAAATGGAAATGGAATGGAAATGGAATGGAAATGGAATGGAAATGGAATGGAAATGGAATGGAAATGGAATGGAAATGGAATGGAAATGGAATGGAAATGGAATGGAAATGGAATGGAAATGGAATGGAAATGGAATGGAAATGGAATGGAAATGGAATGGAAATGGAATGGAAATGGAATGGAAATGGAATGGAAATGGAATGGAAATGGAATGGAAATGGAATGGAAATGGAATGGAAATGGAATGGAAATGGAATGGAAATGGAATGGAAATGGAATGGAAATGGAATGGAAATGGAATGGAAATGGAATGGAAATGGAATGGAAATGGAATGGAAATGGAATGGAAATGGAATGGAAATGGAATGGAAATGGAATGGAAATGGAATGGAAATGGAATGGAAATGGAATGGAAATGGAATGGAAATGGAATGGAAATGGAATGGAAATGGAATGGAAATGGAATGGAAATGGAATGGAAATGGAATGGAAATGGAATGGAAATGGAATGGAAATGGAATGGAAATGGAATGGAAATGGAATGGAAATGGAATGGAAATGGAATGGAAATGGAATGGAAATGGAATGGAAATGGAATGGAAATGGAATGGAAATGGAATGGAAATGGAATGGAAATGGAATGGAAATGGAATGGAAATGGAATGGAAATGGAATGGAAATGGAATGGAAATGGAATGGAAATGGAATGGAAATGGAATGGAAATGGAATGGAAATGGAATGGAAATGGAATGGAAATGGAATGGAAATGGAATGGAAATGGAATGGAAATGGAATGGAAATGGAATGGAAATGGAATGGAAATGGAATGGAAATGGAATGGAAATGGAATGGAAATGGAATGGAAATGGAATGGAAATGGAATGGAAATGGAATGGAAATGGAATGGAAATGGAATGGAAATGGAATGGAAATGGAATGGAAATGGAATGGAAATGGAATGGAAATGGAATGGAAATGGAATGGAAATGGAATGGAAATGGAATGGAAATGGAATGGAAATGGAATGGAAATGGAATGGAAATGAAATGGAAATGGAATGGAAATGGAATGGAAATGGAATGGAAATGGAATGGAAATGGAATGGAAATGGAATGGAAATGGAATGGAAATGGAATGGAAATGGAATGGAAATGGAATGGAAATGGAATGGAAATGGAATGGAAATGGATTGGAAATGGAATGGAAATGGAATGGAAATGGAATGGAAATGGAATGGAAATGGAATGGAAATGGAATGGAAATGGAATGGAAATGGAATGGAAATGGAATGGAAATGGAATGGAAATGGAATGGAAATAGAATGGAAATGGAATGGAAATGGAATGGAAATGGAATGGAAATGGAATGGAAATGGAATGGAAATGGAATGGAAATGGAATGGAAATGGGATGGAATAAAAGTGGAATGAAATGGAACATTTACGTGGAAATCTGGTCGATCCACGCGGTCATCGCCGAAATCTTCTGTCTATCCAGCGGGACATGGATTTTCCGCGAAGCTTTGATGTACGTTCAAAATCCTTGAAAGTAAGCTATGGTACGGTATTGGTAAATTCCATCAACCGTAGCAACTTTGAAACTCGTTAAGTTTGTCCCGCTGGACATATTGACCTAGGGGAATTTACGTATTCTCGGCAACCTAAGCAGCGACCTTCTTTCTATAGCCTTTTTCTCTAAGGAACACACACATATGCAATATTGGTTTGTTTACAATCTTTTGCTGCCAGCTGCTCTAACAATTTCAGTCGAAAGAATTGTCAAAAACTGTTTTGAAACGCTTTTACAAAGCTCCAATCTTCTCTAGTGAGAGCGAGTATTGTCGGCAACCAGTTTTTCTTCGGCAACCGTTCCATTTCAACTGCATGTAAATCTGCTGTTCTATTATCGGCAACTCGAAATCAGCTACAATTTGTAGTGCGTGTGTTTTATTTCAAGAAAACCTTGCTAGATTGCTTTTTCTCAGTGGTAAAAATATAGTCAAATTGAAGCTGAAAGCATAAAGAATCGTTTGCATGCATTCAACGAAGTGTTTTCGTAAGAAAATCCAGTGAAAATAGTGTTTCAATTTGGGTTGCCGAAAATAGTCTGGCATGCCGAAGCCGTCATTTCCCCTACTTAGTTTTAATTAGAAAAAAAAAACAGTTTTTGGAGCTGGTTGCTTATGGAGTAATCTGGGCTCAGCACATATTAACGAAAGCTATTCAATTTAAATAATTAGTGGTGCCGCTGGTGTAGTGGCAAGCTTGATTGCCTTTCACCCCGAACGGGCTGTGCTCAATCCCAGTTGGCGCCACCGGGATTTTCTCAAGCATAATATCATTGATTACGCCTTCCTTCGAGGGAAATAGAGGGAAGTAGAACCGTTGGTCCCCGGTCTATGAGTTGATGGGTCGATAGGGTAGGGTTCAGGCATCCCTGGCGTCGGTAACATTGGTACTCAGTACGGAAAACAAATCAAGGAAAAACAAAATTATATGATTTCAAACTAAGTATCTCTGAGTGAAGTCCTTCAAAAATTAAAGATTTTCGATACCTACGAAAACCGTATTCAAGCAGCAAGAATTTCCGATGGAACCACCAAAATCAAGATTGCACACAGCCACTAAAATTATGCAAAAAACAACCGTACACATCACCGAAGCAATCTATTCTGGTGGTCGTCTCGTTTGCTGTTGACAACACACAAAGTGCTATCGCGATTCAGCAAAGTGCACCACACCGATATCAGCAACAGCGTTTTTTGGCTACACATAGACTGCCAGCGCTCATCCGAATCAACACCTTCATTCGCACGCCTCTAGTATCTACCTATCTAGTAGCACACCAACCTGCGACCAGCAAGCTCTCAATTCTTGCACACGATACCTACAGTGCCAAGTGACTCACGAAGATCCAGCGGATCTTAATCGGTACGACGAATCGCTTATGAATATTCAAATTAGGCTGCAAATTGCACTCTCTTTGCCGTTTGAAAAGTGCGCAAAGTTGGGAAACAACGAGAACCCAGTTACATAAGTGAGTGAGCTGCTAAATGAGAGTGCAAACAATGTGATCGTGCAAAGTGGAAATGAAGAAAAACGGCGTGAGCAAGTGGCTTGAGTTAGTCCAAGGTGGCGTCGTCGTCGGTCGATGTGGACAGGGTTGCTTCGACTCGCTTAGTTGAAAAACATGTTTTTCCGAATTATGTACGTGTAAGTTACAAGAAGAGGTTGAATAGTAAGGGCTGTCAGTTTCGCTTTCAGCGAGGCACAACCTCAGAGTGAGCGCTCACGAATCATAAAATCGCAGATTGTGTCACTCTGAAAGCGAAATTGACAGATTTTCTGTGTCAAATGCATTCTTTTCAACCTCTCCTTGTAACTTACAAGCACGAAACATCATCACAATTTCCGTCCGGCGGTTGCTGTCAACGTTCTTCAGCCAGCATGAAAATGAGCTGAATGATGAAAAGAACATAGTGACAAACTTGAATTATGTTTATTTGGCAGCTGCGGTGGAATAGAGATGAACTAGCCTCAGGCTAAAAATCTCTAAAATAAAGACAAAAAAAAAAAAAAAAAAAAAAGCTGCGGTGGAACTTCTTCTTCTGCTTGGAAATAATCCGTAAAACGGAAATACATCTCTGGAGGCACAACATTTTTTTAAGCAAAGTGAGTCGAAGCAACCCTGGATGTGGATGTTATCGTGGCTTATCTGCGCGACGTGTCGTGAGTTAGAACTCGTTCGATGTTCGATACTTGAAGAGCTAGAACTGTGTTACTGTGAGTGAGTTGGGCTGCAACTTGGGCGTAATCGAAAATGGTTGAGGTCAATGAAGATATGCACTCAGAGTTGGGTTTGTTTTGGGGGAATGCCTTCGAGTGGTGTGTGCAGTGTCATCGGAGAGAGGTCAATTGATTTGATTAACATGGGAGTTAGTTCTTGTAGTTTCGGAGCTAATTGGACGTCATAGTTTGGATGTTTTAGAGGGGGATTTTGCCGTAAAGTGAATCGAATTAATGTTCTTTCGAAAGATTCGACAGTTAAACTTCTGCCAATCATGGAGAATGGCTTGTTTATAAGAACTAATGTAAAAATTGCAGTTGAAGTACAATTCTCATGTAAAAATTGAAAAAAGATAGTTAATTTATTTATAATTTATTCAAGTAGAAATAAGCTTGCATGTTTTGTTATATCACCGAAAAATATGACAATTTAAAAAACAGAATTTGACTTGCGTTTTGGATCATTGAATTTCAAGATGTGACCGACATGCAATTTTTGCTTGATGGGACAAACTGACTTGATGTTGTTTGCACCTTTGTCATGATCAAAGTGCGTAGTTTTATCACAAAATAAGAAAGTAGATGCAAATTGATAGTGAATAGTTATGTTAACTCAAATTCGACGGAAATCTATATGGAACTGATAGGCGCTTATAAGCAGTAGAGTGGTACAATGTGATTCCGGTTTTATATGTCTACAATTAACAATGAGAAATTTAATATCGTGTTTGACCAATTTAACAATAAGCTGGGAAGCTGTGTCTCACACGTTGTCTAAAACCAATTGTCAGTATAAGTTTAATCGTCACGTCACGAAAATGATTCATTCAAATTTCCGCCAGTCTAAGAATCAAGATCCAAATAACACCTTATTGGTGAAACCTGTTTTAAAAATCCCCTGACCAGCAGAACCGTTTCCTAGTTGATTCAAATTACCATTGAATCCCTTGGATGAAGGCCACTGAAATCCAAGTCACATTTCATGAAATTCACCCCAAAAGCATGGCAACACTTCTTTATGTTATATTTACACTGCGATATCAGATTTTATGCCATCTGGAACGCATTCACCGGCACACGACCGATGAGCGTAGCTCAGTACCTGAGTCGAGTTCAATTCAAAATTGCAAGTGAGTCAGTAAGAGAGAGAGTAACATTTTCCTTACTTTTCGACGGAAAATCGACCACAATTTTGCAGGAGTATACTATAATCGACTGAGTGAAATATCCCTCAGATTTACAAATTCAACCAAATTTTAAGTGCCTGTCATTGACCGTGCATGCCATGGCATTGATTTTTATCTGCTGCGCCCGAGTTTGTGTGGGGCTTTAGGAGATTGCTCTGCACTGATAGCGAAGTTGAGTCATACCCGATATTCTCGAGCGGCAACGTGTACTGCCGAACCGCAGCTAAAGGCCTTTGGCGCCAAAAACCATCGCTTCACCTCGCTTCGTCGCAGTTATTTTGGCTCTGCTCACTAACGCCAGTAGTGGTGATTTTCAGAGAGTCGTAAAACTGAAAATTATTGATTCTTACTTTATGACCCTTTTCGGTGAGGTGTTCCTGTTGGAGAATCCCAACAAATTAAAGACGGTTCGCAAAAACGAAGAAGCCGATCTACGAATGAAGATGTGAGTTTGGGTGTGTTCGTGAGCTTGTCGCTTATTTGATAATAACATAATAAAAAAAGATTATTGTTTAAAATGTGGATTGAACACTAGGGTGGCGCAAATTGGCACGTTGTCTGGAGAACTGGGGGCGCACCCGCCAAATGATGAAAAACAAAACTGTTGTATGGAATACCTAAAGCAGGGCTGGCAAATGTCATTTTCAATGAAAAATCTCAAGCGATATTTACAGAGATACTTCTGTCACTATCATTGGATGAGAAAACGATGATAGAGATTTTCGTCAAAATCTCATCGAATTTTTTGTCATGACAGAACGTGACAGTGTTGTAATCATCGCAATTACTACACACTTGAAAAATTTCATGTAAATTTAAATCTTTTTAGATGTACTCAAAAGAAGCGGCTTAAATGACCTAAATTTACGTCTTTTCTTAAATTTACTCGAACCACAAACTCAAGACATATTTTTACATGTCGTGACGTAAATTTCTGTCACTGGTGCTCATTTTTACTGATTTTGATAATTTTTTAAAATCCTGCAATTTTACATCTTTTAGAGATAATTTAGTGTGGATTATCAAGCTGTTTGGTATTGCGAATGGTTTGGTTCTCCGGCAATTCATATAGATAGGCTCGCGTGTGGATATGTGGTGCATTGCATGCTTTGTGATTGATTTTAAATCGTTTGTTTTGACACTACAGGATATTATCGGACATTCGTATAAAATTTCACTTTGCCATTCAATATGGCGCTACCTCAAGTGCTGCCGATATGCCACAAATGACTCAAATATCACTTCACATCCCAACGCGCACTTAAAGACTTGTGAATTCCTAAGCAGCCGGATATGTTGTTTTATAAAATGTGGAATTCGCGCAGTCCAAACCACATATATTGCACCGGACACTAATTTTTTTCAATACCGTACCGTAACGCGATAAAACTGCGGAGTGCGTTGCCGATGACGATAGAAGCTTTACTTACTGCTTTCAGGTGCGTTGTCACCGCATCATGTAATTTTACATCTATTCGGACATAAAAATCTGTCACGAATGTACTTTTCAGTTTTTGGTCATTTTAGGTTTTTTGACACCTAATTTTAAAAGCATGACATATTTTTCAGAAGTTGATGTGATATTCAGTCATAAGACGCTATTTCACATCTAGATGTGTTTATTATTAAATGTCGACCTTTATTTTTTTTAAGTGCGTCTATGTGCACATAAAATTAAGTGCTTTATCAAATTACATGACAAGAAAATTAGATCCTACGTCAATTCAAGCTCGTGTAATTTTCAGTTTTTTTAAGAGTGTACTTCATTTAATGTTATTAAAGTTACTTGTACCGAGCAAATCCTAATAATATATTTTCTCTACGAATTACATACGGTTGTTTGCTTAAATTCATCTAAATCAGTTAGAAATGTTGATGTAAAAACCGCATAAGACTTATTTTCATGAGTGCTTGATCATTGAAAAATGAGAAGAAAGCTTATGATAGGTAGTTTCGTCTTGTGATAGTGAGAGGGCCTGGTTTCTCATCGTCACATGACGGCCATGATATTTACCAGCTCTGACCTGAAGAAATATTTCTAATGCTTCGAAATTTAAAGCAATCTTATATTTTTATATATTTTTAATATTAAAGAAAATTACCTCACGGTGCTCCTTTTTCTTATCAATTTTGTTTAACTTTCAGAAAGTTAGGTTTTAAGAAGCATAATGACATGCAATCATCAAAATTTGCAAATCGCTTAATTTTTGTATTTTTTGAATTTTGTTGAAAATTTACGGATACCATCCTTATGACCGACAATGTCACTTTGCATCTTGATATCGCTATTTTGAATCCTTATTTTTGAAAAGGGAATATCGAAAGCTTACTTTCAGAAAATTTTTACTCGAAAATTGTTTGACCGATCGGTTTGGTGTCTTCGGCAATATTGCAGGTAATTGATGAGACTTTAAAAAAAAAAAATGATGGGGTTGTGTACAAGACACGACCGCATGGTTGACGTAGACTACGTTAAACTGTGTAGTGAAATTCTCGTGCATTTTTTCTAGATATTGATTTAAAATACAGTAGAAGTAACCTATGATTTCGGTCCTATGTACATATTTTGGATTTACTACTTAGTAAAACTTGGTTAGTTTCAGGACCTCATAAAAATGCGAATACATATTCCATTTCATTTGATTCCTAACAATCAGATATGAGTAAGGCTTTCTTCAGGTGATTCATTGAAGCATCCAACAATGACCGTCATTATGGCTGATATTCCCTATCACTTTAAGATTTCTAGAACACAAATCTTGGACGGTTGTGACATCACTCATGAAATTGAAACTCCTTGTGTATTGGACTGCAACAAATGTGATGTTCCAGTTTCTTTGTTATAAGTTTTGTGAGAGCTGATATCTGTACTCTTGAAATTTTTATGTGGTAATGAGATTGATCAGAAATAAGGTTTCCTCAGCGATTCAACTTCAAAACGCTAAACGGAGTGCACAATTTTGCACCAATGTTATGCAACATTTTTTTATAGTTGATCGGGCTGATATCAATTAGCCATGAATCTCTCCAATTAGTTCTTGGTACATATTTTATCTACCGATTG